AAAAATGTCAGTAATAAAAAAAAGTTTTATATGGTTCTAGTAATATTTCCTAATTTCCATGGGATTTGAGCTAAATACCCATTAATTAATTGAGAAATTTAAAAAAAGTCACTTTTCAAGTACCAGTTTACAAAAATGTCACACTTTTGAAATGTTTACAAAAATGCCACTTTTTCAAAATTATATTTTTTTATATTATTTATGTTTAGGTTAATTATATTCTATTAGGATTTAGTTTTGAGTGTTTAGGGGGTTTTAGGTGTCAAAACATTTTTTAGGGTTTAGAATTTTAAGATATAGGCTTTATAAATCTATAATTAGTGGTATTTTTGTAAATAGACACCCCTACGTGGCATTCTTGCAAATATGCACACAAAAAGTGGTATTTTTGTAATTGTTCCTAATTAATTATGTATTGAAATTTTATATTTCTTAATTAGTACTTCGAAATAAAAGAATTAGGATTCTATTTTCAAAGTTTTAGTTTAAAAAATAAAGATGATGCATGGTTTCAACGGTATATATATATTTGATACATGATATAATTACGTTTGAGAAAAATTTTAATATTCAATTATAAAAATATATATATATATTCTGTGTATGAAAAACTCTTGATTAAAAATAAAAATTGTATGGCCAAAGATCTAGAATTTTTGAGAAACAGAAAAAGGTTTTTATATAAAAAGTTGAAACTTTGCCCTCAAATTTTTTTAAAAGCTGAAAAACCTAAAATACAAAAGAGACTTGCAGAGAGATAAGTATCTTCTGGGCAGCAGATATTTTCTACGTTTCGTCCCTTTCCTCCACCACATCGCATAATTGAATATGACGACAATAAATATTAACTAAATATGTTAATGGTAACTGTGAAATCGGGCAGAATTGTGGAATCTGGTAGAATTTTTAATGATTTTTTGCAGAATTTAGAAGAATAATGGTGACTGCTGAATATTGCGGAATGTAACAGAATTTTTACAGATAAATACATTAATTAAACTTATGAAAATATTAATTAAAATTGTGTATTGGAATTAAATATTAATGTTTATAAATTTATTAAATGTTGCAAAGAATATTGAATAAACTTATAAAATTATTAATTAGACAATATTTTGTTGAAACTTAAATTTATTATGTTTATATTTATATCAAATTTTACAAAAAGGTTATAATTTGAGGCAGTTGCAAAAATGTCATTTTTGGTATGTACATTTGCAAAAATGCCATTTAGAATTGTCCATTTGAAAAAAATGCCACT